ATATATATATATATATATATATATGTCTCTGTGTGCGATGTCAAAATTGAAGTTATTAAATCATGAAATTTGGAGGGAGCAGAGGCGACAAACCTTTTGTACTAGGAAAAATAAATCTTATTTAAGGAAACAAATCGAATCTCTTTAGGTAAGAAATTCAATAGTTACTTATATGTCATTTTAATTGTATGCTATTAGATATATTAAGTTTTTGTTTTATGATAGGATTCTTTTAGTTGTATGCATCCTTAATTGACTTTGGTGTCAGTCAAAGAAAGTGTGGGATTAAAATTTTTCAGAAGTCTTTTAAGTCAATGTGAGTGATTATTTTCTTTTAAGCATTAATTGAAAGTTTTATTAAAGGAATTATTACTTTATTAAATGATTTAAGACAATCTTTTTATTAATGTCATATATTTTGAAAATCCGAAATGGTATCACAAACGAGAGAAAATAAGAAGGTACATCTTTGAGGGTTGTGTACCTATGCAGCATGGTAGGGTCATTCCGTATGCATCACGACAATTGAAAATAATGAAAATAACTATCCTACATGATTTGGAGTTTGCAGCAGTTGTTTTTGCAATTAAGATATGGAGGTATTATCTGTATAGAGTTAGATGTGAGGTATTAACTAATCATTAGAGTTTGAAGTATATCTTTACTCAAAAAAATTGAACCTGAGGCAAAGGAGATGGCTGAAGTTTATTAAAGATTATGAGTTAGATATTCAGTAGCATTCGAGGAAGACAAATGTGGTGGCATATGTACCGAGAAGGAAAACTTCAATTAATTTGAACTATTTATTGACTCAACATGAGTAATTAATTAAAGATTTGGAGAAGTTGATGCTATCTATAGTTGATTATAGTGATACTAGTATCGTTCAATTATATCAATTGACGATGCAATCAACTTTGAAGGGGAATTCCAGATTTGTTAGCCAAAGATAGCAGTGTTCAGAAAGTCTTGGAATAGGATAAGGTGGGCGGTTTGGAGATGTATGTGCTAGATTAGAATGATTTATTGAGATATAAATGTAGAGTTTATGTTCCAGATGTTGACGATCTGAGGAAGGAAATTCTGGAGGAATCCCATTTATCTGATGATACTATTTACTCATGGAGCAATAAAATGTATCAGGATTTCAAAGAAGCATTTTGGTGGCCAGGATTGAAGAGTGTGATAGAATTTGTGGCTAAGTGTCCTTCATGTTAGCTAGTAAAGGCAGAGCATCAGCTTCCTAGAGGTCAGTTATAGCCTTTACCGATTCCAGACTGTAAAAGGGAGGAGACTGATAGATTGTGATTGGGTTGCCTAGATTATGCCAGGGTCATGATGCTGTATGAGTAATCGTCAACTGATTGACTATGTCTGCTCATTTCTTACCCATTAAATAGACAGATCCAGTGTAGAGATTAATCAAATTATATGTGGGTCAAATTGTGTGGTTGCATGGAAGGCCAAGGCCATTGTCTCTGTCAGAGGTGATAGGTTTACTTTCAGGATGTGGAAGAAGGTTCAGAAAGCTTTGGTCACACGACTGAATTTTAGTACAACCTTTCACCCTCAGACGGACGATCATTTAGAGAGGTCTATTTAGACTTTGTATGATCTACTAAGGTTATGTGTCATTGATTTTGGTGGAGGATGAAATCACATATATCTTTAGTAGAATTTCCTTACAATAACAGTTACTAGGCTAGCTTTGGGATGACTCCATATGAAGCCTTGCATTGGAAAGAAGTGCAGGACACCTCTATGTTGGGCTGAAACAGGTGAAAAAAAGATTTTTAGAGCTGATTTGGTTGATGTTGCTAATGGGAAGATTAGACTGATTAGAGGCGGATTGAAGACAGTGTAGGATAGAGAAAATATTACGGTGTTAAACACAGACCTGTTGAGTTTGATGTTGGAGAGTTTGTTTTTATCAAAGTTAGTCCATTGAAGGGTGTGCAAAGATTTGGGAAAACAAGAAAATTGGCTCCAAATTTGTTGGTTCACTTGAGATTTTGTGGAGAGAATTAGGAAAGTAGCTTACAAATTTTGGCTTTACCAGCTAATATGCAGGGAGTGCGTAATGCTTTCCACTTTTCTTTACCTAGAAAGTATATTGCAGATGAATCTAGTAGGATGATGGCAGACTCAGTTGACATTTAGCCTGATTTGACTAATTTTGAGGAGCCTAAAAGGATTCTAGATTATGATGTGAAGAAGCTGCGACACCGAGAGTTCCCTTTTTTGAAGATTCTATAGTAGCATGGGTCGAAGAAAAATGCTACTTGGGAAAAAAAGTATCTAAGATTTAAGAAAGATATTCACAGTTTTTATTAGGTATTTTTACTTTCATGATTATTTTCAAATTTTATCCACGAAATTTTTATGAGGGAAATTTGTAATAACAAAATTAAATAAATATTAAATAATAATGATGACAACAAATTGAATAGGTACTAAGATAACCACCCATTTGGTTCAGTATTGACTAATGAATCGCATTACCCATTCAAACGAAAGAAATAGAGAGATCGAGAAAGGGAAAGATCGTTCGTAACCTAGTTGATTGAAAGAAGAAAGAAGAGGAAGGAAGAAACCGCAGAAGGAAGAGAAGAAGAGGAAGGAGAAAGACAACGCATGTTGTCTATTTCTGAGCTTTAATCGATCGATGAAGTCGTGGCTTCATGCACAGGTACTGTGCGAAGGAGGAAGGAAAGAAGAAGAGAAGAAAATAATGATAGTGAAGGAGGAAGAGGAGACAGAGGAGGCGGCGTTGAGGACTTACCTGCATTGAGCCGCAACCGAAGCTGCGGGCCATGTGTGCCGCTGTTAGGGTTTTCGAGCTGTGCAAATGAGAAGAATATGAGTAGACTAGATCTGTCGTGTTTACATGCTCGTAGAGGAAAAGGAGGAAGAAGATTGCGGGTGTTGTCCGTGTCGAGCCGTGTGAAGGCGAAGAGGGAAGAGACGCTGAGGCACTATTTCGTGCGAGAAGTAGGCGGCTTGTGCATGAGTGTTGGTAGGACAGGCAGGCGAAATAGGGGGTAAGTTTTATTTGTTGTATTAAATGATTAATTATGTTATGCCTCAAAATGTATCTTCTGGTGCAATTTTTAGCTAGGATACATATTTTGAGGATACCTTCGGGTATGATAGTAATTCTGTTACGTCTCTTAAAAAAAATTAAAATGGTAAATTGTTAAAGTGAAACGGGAATGGATAAAATTAAAGTGAAAGTTTACAGTTTTACTAAGAAATGAACAACATTTTCTTTTGATCATTCATGCGTAGTATTGGTATAATAAATTAATGCATTTTAACATTATAATTGCTTACTATGTCAAACTTACTGTTGCAATTAATGATTTCTTTCATGAAAAAAAAAAACTTTAGGTTGATATGTTTGATATGAGAGGCTTGGTTTACGAAATGATTACAAGCCACTACTTTTAGGTATTTGATGATATTTTCCTTTTAATGTTGCTTTCAGATAGTGATATAATGTCTAGTACTGGTTTGAAATGTTATCTTCAGATTATTATTATTGTTTCTAGATGTTTTGAATTTATTGAACTTTGTGTATATTAGTGACTCTCTTATATTTTAAAAGTTCCTGAAAAATATGTGAAAAGTAAAAAAAAAATGTAAAAATGAAATGTTAATATCGTCCTACCGCAGTTCCAACCTTATTAAGCCCCGGGTCGGGTCATGCCATTTTATAAGATAAACAATTTGAACATTGAAAAGGAAAATATAACACAATTCATTGAAAATGAGAACACCGGCAGAGTAGAGGATGAGCAATCTTTTTTAGGCTTCTATTTTAGTCACCAACCATGAGTTGCCTAATGAACTGGTCCTCCAACAAACTATAGTCTGACGTTACTAAAATCTTGTATTCTATTTAAGTTGGCAAGGGCCTGATTGGGCATCCCACTGAAGTGATCAGTTAAATGAAATTCAGAGTAGTAGGTTCCCCAAAAAAAATTAATTTTGATACCTTTCATGATTTTCTACATAAGTTGTACAATTGGCTTTCAATCTAACGTTAACCCTCAAATTTTTTTCTTTCCAGAATTTGAACTTTATAGGTTTTTGTTTTATTTTTTTTCTAGAATTTGATTGGATGTTCAGGTGCAAGTGTATATGAATGGAGAAAATGCACTGTGGAAATTAAATTGGGTTTCTATTAAGAAAATTTTGAGTGTTTGTCTGTTGGATTTTACTCTTTCCTCTATCAACTCTATCCATTAGTAAGCTCAATGTTGTCTGTGATTTCAGAATGCGTTCTCTTTTTTGTCATCACATGCTTATCCTTACTTATATTCAATGCAGACATCTCTTCCGGTCTTAAAGATTGTTAAGGCTTTGTCAGAAATGGGATTCGATGTCGTTCCCTCGAACGATGCGGGCCGTTTTGTGTGCAATTATGTCTACTATCACTCTCTCCGGTTTGCCAAAGAGCATGGAATCAAATCTCTTTTTATTCATTTCCCTCTCTTTGTTACAGTTGAGGAAGAAACACAGATGCAATTTGCAGCTTCTGTTCTTGAGGTGCTTTCTTCACTGATTTAGATATGAAATCATGCTGCTGTTTGAACTCTCTGTTAATTTCTATAAGTATTGTTATTAATTGTGGGTAAGGTGTGCGTGTGTATAAAATGATTTGTAAATTTGAACGTGCTCAATGTCATTTTCTGGATCACATTGTTCACACCTCAATGTCTTCAAGGTTTCTTTTTTTGTTTTACCTTTGGACGTTTGCATTTGGCTTTTAATTTATTTTTATTTTTGTTTTGCAACAGTTGCCGATCGATGTATGAAATGAATTTTTTCTCATAGAATGGTGAATATTTTCCTCTTAAACATAATCTTTAAGCTGAAGATCACATTATTGATTGTGAACTATAACGTAATCTTCGAGTGGATCTAGTTTCAACAATTAATATTTTCTTATACAGACCTTCATTATTAATAAAGGTTAATCTTTAGAAGCCTTGTTGATCTTAGCTTATTTTTTCTTCCTTTTTTTAAGATACACGTGTTAATCATACAGCTCAAGCTTAACAGAATGGCAGAGCTCCACTTCTACCTGATAACCAACTATACACTTCCTCCTCTCCCCTGTAACCAATTCCGCCTCACGGCAGTATATGTCTCCGACACACCTATATATACATGTACCGTACACAGCAATTTAAGTTTTTTAATAATTTCGTTCTGCTAGATTAAGCTTGTATTATTTCCTCTGCTTCTTTCATAATTCTCATTCCAGACTCTTCACTTGGTATCAGAGCTATTGATGAGCTTTCTGCCTTAAACCTGGGAGCTCCTACCATCTCTCCCTCTGTAAAATTCTTCATATCCAATATCAAATCTATAGTGCATACCCAACTATCCGACTAAAACTTACCCAACATGGAGTGCTCAGATCCTGAAACTCTTTC